CTCTGATGTCAAATAGATGCCGAAGATCGAACTAGACTGGCCACCAATCTTGAGCTGACACCCTACAGCGCCTCTGAAGTCAATCCCCGACATGGTGGTCTCTGGCTCCTGGATCTGACGGAGCCCCATCTGCATGTGTCTGTCGGTCGCAAGGTGCCGAAAGCTCTGAAACGGAAGTCTCTTCCTGACTCCCATAGAGATCCCACCAGCCTTGGTCGTCGACTCCAGCTGGTAGGATGGTGCCACCACTGGTTAATGGCCTCTGCGGCTCCAATCATGGAGCACTTCTGTACACATATCTGGAAGAACGTGCAGCTCGGGCAAAATGACTATGTCGTACAAGCCCTCAGCTAGAAGGCATTTGGACGAGTGACCCCAGCCCGAAAGGTTCCTCATATACAACGTGTGCACGTCACCCACGCGATGTCTCCCCCTCCGCTCTCTGCTCACGCAGCTTGCGGACGAGGGCGTCGACTTCACCCAGCAGGCGGTCCGACGCGGCCTTGAGCTGCTGCTCATCCCCAAGAGCTGGCGCGGCGCGAGGGGCGGGGTCTGCTGCCGAGCCTCGGCCAGCACCCGTCGCCGCTCCTCGCGCAGGCGCCTCAGGGGCAGCGTCGGCGCCTCCACGGGGTGCACTGGTCGCTGCGCCCTGGCTCGCTGGTTCGGCCGTGACCTGAGCCTCACCCTGGTTGCCTTTCCTCTTCTTGCGGGCTCTCTCGAGGACTGCTGAGACCTTGGCCTTCTGATCCTGCAACTTCTCATTAATCTGACCGTGTCCTGCGCCGCCTTGCGTAACCATACCTGGAGCTCACTCTTAGTCTTCTCCAAGATGTCATGGTCCGACTGCGTGAGGCCCAACCCGTCCAAGTCGACTCCCAGACTGATCTCCAGTTCCAGGTTGTCGTCCAGCACCTCCTGGATGTCCAGGACAGCACCACGTGGCACGGGCAACTCCTCAGGCGGCAAGAACTCTTTAGCTTTAACAATCTCCTCACGTTCAACTTCCATGACCTCCGTCGTACAAGCACGAAGCTTCTCCGTGCAACGCTCCAACTCCTGCTTGGCTCTTTTCCACTGCTCCTTGGCTGCCTCCATGGCCTTGCGTCCTCGCTGCAAGCGGGCCGCCGCCACCTGGAGGGCCTGCCCAGGCGGCCGTGGCTTGGGCTCAGGGGGAGGTCCTCGCAAGGTGGCCACCAAGGAGTCCACAGCGCGCTTGGTGTCCACCTCCCCACCACCGAGCTTGGCCGCCAAGGCACAGAGCTCCAGCACAGCGTCACCATCAGCAGGAGCAGTACCACCCTGACGGCCATGGCCAGGCCCGCGCGACTTCGGGAACTTTGCGCCGCACTCACACGTCCAGTTCTTCGCTTTGAGCCTGTCCTGGAAGAGCCACCGACCGCACGAGGAACACTCAACTTGGGCCCTGAACTGGCGCTTCCTCCAAGTGTTGGCTCCCCACGAAGGCGGTGGCGGCACAGAGCCAGGCAGTGGAGGATAGACGATCGGATTCCATCATTCACCGTAGCGCGAGGCAGGCTGCTGCCTCCACGGCGGTCGCCGAGAGGCATCTGGCGCCATCGACAACCGTCCGTGTTCTTGACAAAACTCGATGCTGTGGCCCAAGATAACTGAGCATGGCTTAAGAAAACCGCTGGCAGCCTCTAGCCGAGCACGGTTCAAAATAGCCTCCAAGAGGCCTCAAGCAAGCCTCCGCTCGTGGCCTCCTTATATATATATATATATAATTCAGCGCGCACGTGTGCAGGGAGACTCTGGGCGGACAGCTTGGCGGTGCTCTCGGCCCGTGGATCCCTTCTCTGCCCGCTATGCGCCAATCACCGTCGCGGGCTGCTCAACGAGATGGGCTGCGCTACCCCGAGAAGCGAGCGCGTGATATATGGGGAACAATGGGGAACAGTGGGGAACAACGAGTTTCAAACCAAGAGCCAAAACACAGAACAGCCATTTTTCATGTTGAGCCACGTTTTCAGCCAGCGCTGAAGAAAACAACTGCCAGCAGAGCGTGGAAACAGTGGGGAATTCCGAAGAACCTGCCACGGATCGGTGGTGCCCGTTGGAAGCCTGCGGGCGCTGTGCCCGACAACCTAAGGGTCTTGAGCCAAAACGGCTGCGGGCAAGGAAGATGACAACGATGCCAACGACGACGACGACGACGTGTCCCTCCCGCCCACCAGCCCGACCAGGGAGGGAATCTTTAAGGTGAGGGAGGGAGGGTATTCTCGCTGGGGGGGGAGGAGAGGGGGGCCCCCGGTTCTGGAGAGGAGGGGGGATTTTCTGACGGGGGGGTGAACACTTCACGGAAATTCCCCAATTCTGACAGTTCGGCTTATTCCGACTACGCCGACTCCGACGTGGATGACTAGCTTCGGTTCTGTTACCAGTGCCTGCGGCAACAAATAACAAAGCACAATCATTATTGACTTGGCCCGTCCCTGGTTGCCGAACGCCATCGCCGAACCCGATCGCACCTTGGCTCCCAAACCCGTGCACGACCCTACCACCAGCGTTACTCCGACGTCGGCCTGAGGCGCTATCGCCTCTAGCTATTCGCCCAACCCCAACTCCCGACACCGTGTACTCCCTCCTTTTCCAAATCGCCGACTCCGGCTTCCGGCCATGGCGCCCATCTTGACCTGATCCCCTCCCGCCTGGTCGCCTGTCCTACTCCAGCTCTGGCTTTAGACGCCGACTTTCGGACTTCAGAGCCGGCTCTTCTGAGAAGGCAGGGTGGGGGGTCGACGACGGGCTGCGACAGTGATGTTTCGGCGGCGAGCGAGGAGGGGAAGTGAGAAGGAGAATACCTTCTCAGAAGGTTCGGAGGTCCCCCAGCATTCTGAGAAGTTTTCTGAGCCTTCCCCGAAGACAGAAACACAACTTCTCAGAAGGCGCGAGGGCTTCTGAGAAGTCCCGCCACCTTTTGAGAAGGCCTTCTCCTTTTCAATTCCACCGCTTGCTCGCCGCGGAATTTTTGGAAGAGGAGAAGGAGGAGGACGAGGAGGAGGAGGAGGAGGAGGAGTGCGGAGCGCGACCATGCCTGCTCACCTCATCGATGCGGGCGGCAGCAGCAATGCAAATTAAAGGTCGCCATGCAAAACAGGAAGACATACACCTACGTGTGATAGGCAAGTTCATGAAACACACGTGGCCAATGGGCTTCAACGACATTACCACCACCAAAAACGATATCGGTATTCCTGTTATGATTTACGGAATTGAAGCTTTCGTGGGTGGTTCGGCTCAACGCCACGCGTAAATTTACACGTTATCTTCTGGATTACATTGCGGCCTACGATGACAATAAGAGGGCCGCACGTCCTTCCGACTCGAGTTCCAACCTCGGCGATGCTATTTGCAATAGCTGGGGCGGCGACGGAAACTTCAAGTCCCAATCCAACTATTCCATTGGACGCATCGCAAGAGGGCGTTTCTGATTGGCTGCGAAAATATTGGTGGTCACAATTTCTCGTCCCCTTGTATGGCCAGCAAGTGACGATGGCAGGGATCCCCCGCTGTTAGTAGGTGGTGTGATCAATATGTTCTGCATCGATTTGCAAGGGGTATGCGGTCTATTGCTTAAGAAACTGTGCGCGAAGCTTTTTCCTTGGTTTCGGCATGCTTTCCGAGATAATGGCTTACACGACAAACTTTGATTCATACATTGGTTGCGGGGCGTAGGGAGTACTAACTGAGGATATCCCGATCGATAACTGTACAATTTATCCTGCAATGGACTATTAGGGTGTCCCTTGGGCTGCCAAGTCTGGAATTGGAAATTGTGCCTGTGGCGGACACTGTGCACCTACACGAGTCGTTTTGGCATTGCTTCCTTAGCGTGTGCGACCATACGGCAATGCTCCATTTCCAACCGTATCCATCGTCTTCGGATTCCCGCCCGGCCTCAGAAGCAAAGAGAGGTACCCACGGACCAGCCCCCAGGCTCCCTCCAGGCGTGGCTCGCTGCGGCCAATCCTCTTACATAGGTCGATGCCCAGGCTCGCACTCTCAAAGCTGTGCCAACATGCATCTGGGACGACTATCTTCGTATCTCTACCCAGTGTTTGGCAACAGTCACCGTCCACTGGAAGAATAGGCGTGGGTTACAACGGAGCGCGTGGCAGCTTGGACGCTCTTACTCGTCTGCCCCAGACGGCCGCGGGGGTCCCTGATGCCGCGGGGTGAGTGCTCCACGCGCGCTGTTCCACAAACCCCGTGGGAGCCCCGCAGAGCCGCGGGGCGGGACTCTGTCAATCCCGGGCGGCCCTGGGGCGCTGCTTCGCAGGCCCCGAGGGGGGCTCCACAAGGCCGCGGGGTGGTGCTCCACACGCCGCAATGTGGCGATGTTCCACCGTTCCCGGGAGGCTCCGGAGCAGCCGCGGGGGGGGCATTCGAACCATGTCCGCGCCCAGCCGAGAGGGAAGGCGGCCGCCGACCAGGATATCGAGGGCCGAAGGTCCCGGATCGAGAATCCGAGATGGGGGCAAGGCTCAAGGGCCTACGAAAGATGAGGACCGAGGATGACGCTCGAGGACCGAAGAGAAGAGTCGAGGGCCCAGGAGGAGCAGGAGGAGGAGGAGGAGGAGGAGGATGAGGAGGAGGAGGAGGATCGAAGTCTGAGCGCAGTGAGCATGGCAAGTCGACCTGCCCCTGCTCTTCTTCCTCCTTCCGCCTACTCTGTCCCTCCTCCTCCTTCTCCTCCTCCTCCCTTCCCATCCTCCCCTTCCTCAAGGATGAAGGAAGGTGCGTTAAGGCACCACTCCTACGGCAGGAGGTGGACTATCATTTAACTTTTCCCTACTCCTCCTGCCTCTTCTTTCCTCCTCCTCCTCCACCGCCTCCACCTCCTCCTCCTCCTCCCTCTACTGTCCTCCTCCTGCTCCTCCTCCTCCTCCTCCTCCTCCTCCTTCTTCTCTCCTCCTCCTCCTCCTTCTCCTCCTCCTCCTCTTCCTCCTCCTCCTTCCTCATCCTTATCGTTGAATTAGTTCCCTTCGCTTACTTGTCATTCTTTTTCGATGGGCCGCGTTGGAACCAGATAACGGTGCGCCGGCACAGCAAGCGCTACGCTCGCGCCGCTGGGATTTGATTTGAAATCGTCCTGGCATTCGGTGCGTGGGCTCGAGGGTAACCATCGGAACGCCCAGGCGCGCTGGCAGAACCCTGTAACTAGCCTTGTCGCGCCGCCTTGATTTTGCTAACGCCAAAAACTATGGAACACGTGGGCTCGCCCTGCTGCGGTCGAATCGCCCGAGGCCCAAGCCATCGTGCGCGTGTCGACGACTGTGCGATGGCCACTTCCCGCGCCTGCACAAGCATGGCATTGCCGGCCTGGAAAGGGGCACCAACACCAACACAGTGGGTTGCCTCCACAAGGGAAAGATGATCCTAGATGTCGGTGTTGGTGGTAATATGTCGGCCACCTAGAAGCCCGAATATCACCACCATTCACCGAGATTGGGAGCATCTTCCCTCGGTGGAGGCACACCGCCGATAGTGGTGTTGGTGTCAAGCTCTAGGCCTCCGGAGACAGCTCATGGGCACGCGTTCCCACGCTTCCGACGGATTGTGTTTCCAATCAGCGGGCCCGAGAAGCTTTGACCCCGTCCCAGGGTCTGTTCTCTCATCCCTTTTCAAATCTGACGGATGCTTCCATGCCCCGAGGTACCGCGTGGAGGCCGGACTTCGCATCGCAGAAAAACGCTGGCCAGATATCCGAATCTTCGTCGGCAACTCAAGAAAGCCTCAAGCGGCATCTTGTCGGCTCTTCCGAATCGACGCCAATCGACGCTAATCGACGCTAGTCTACGCCAATCGAGCCTACATGGACGCTAATCGACGCTAAATCGGTTCTATCCCATCGATTACCCGACGCTGATCGCGCCAGGGCATTCTAAAAGCGGAACTATGAAGGTATACGAGGATCCTACGATGTGTTACCGAACATATCCAAATCGAACCCCGCACCCACCCCCAAGCGACGACGAGGACGAGGGCGAGGCCTGGGGATGAAGACCAACCCCTCAGCGCCTGTTGATCCATGGTCTGACTCCGGCCCCCCAAGAAGATCCATATTCTCCAGACACCACTAAGGAGTCGAGTCGGAGATCGACTACATGATTGATTTGCACCAGAACTGTCTTCGCCGAGCCGACGAAAAAGATGGAATGTTCGTAGTTCTGTTAAGGCTCCTTGTAATTCTAAGCAGATCCGAAAAAGAACAGCACTTTTGGGGTAGATCGATTCTGCAGTCCATCTCCTACTCGAATGAGCGGGAAGGAAGGAGGACCATGAGGATGACGGAACAAACATAATAATAAGGGATACCATGATGGAGGACAGCAGAGACGGAGGAGGCAGAACGAGATGTGATGTTCAAGAGATGGGCGAAACATATTATATGATTAGTCGACCGGTTTACGAGCGTTTCCGAGGATTTCTGGTCGGCGACGTTTTTGGTGGGTCTGGACGTTCTGCGACGTTTCGGAAGGAGGGCGGCGGCATTCGGGAACCGTTTTGCGGAAGTGGGGCAGCTAAGGGGGGGAAACTAGGGGGGCTCTTCGGAGGTCTAGGGTGTTCTCTGGTTCCGGGAGGCTCTGCGGCCATGGGGGTAGAGGGGGGAGAAGTAGGGCGACCCTTGCATCGGGCCTTCATGCAACTGCCCCCCACATTTCTACCCCGCGTGGTACCCTTTGGGGGCCTGAGAGGAAAAAAACAACTGAGGAGAGAGGAGGAGGAGGAGGAGGAGGAGGAGGAGGAGGAGGAGGAGGAGGAGGAGGAGGAGGAGGAGGAGGAGGAGGAGGAGCTGCAGGAGAAATGCGGACGCGGAGGAGGAGGAGGGGCCCGACTGCTCCATGCTTGTGCAAAGGCCACTGGAGGCGCACTTCGCACGGAGGCAGCAGCAGCACCGCGCTCAGAGCCTTGACCTACCAATGACGTCGTAGGGCGCCGGCGGCGGGTTCGTCGTCCACCTGAGGGACACACGGACTATCACCTTCAAGTTCGTCGGCACGAGCGGATCGCAATGACAATGTTTTCACAGACTCGGGCCTCTATAGAAATCCGGTTCGGGCCCGGGGGCTCACAACAACAACGGCCCGGGATGAGAAATTGGCCCCCGGGGTCGAGAGGTCTGGGGGGCCGCGCAACGGAAAATAATGACGCGGAATGTGAGGGAACTCCTATACAGAGGATCCCAGCCTTCGAGATCCAGATTCTGGATGTTTCGTCCTCCATCTAGAAAGCTTTGTTCTCGCACTTCCACTGCCTTCTGGAGGCTTCAGATCTTCCAGGTACCCGCAAGCCGATCCTCCAGGTAGCCGCAAGTCCAGGCGGTCCCAAAACCCCCAGGCCAGTCCCCCGACGCCAACCCTGTCCTCGCCTTCCATGAAAACACTTGTTCTTATCCTTCTCCCGTGTTTCCTCCTCCTCCTCCTCCTTCTCCTCCCCCTCCTTCTTCTGCTTCGCAGGACGGGGTTCAGAAATTGAGCAGCTCGGTCTGCCTAGACAATTTTGCCTGTCCAGCACCTCGGCTTCATCCCGGCCGCCCTGTAGACATCCTCCAAGATAGCCATGTTCTTCACGCCCTCCGCTGGAGTGTTGATCTTGTTCTTTGTGTATCCCCACGGCATACCCGGATTTGGTCTGCGATCCTGGCATCCGACCTCGTCGACGAAGGCCATCAACTGGTAGTAGAAGCTGTCCTGTGTATTCAGACGCCCTGGGTCGTCTACGGACTCGGTAGAGGTCACGCCTACATCGTCCCACTGCTCGAGTCTGATCTTGTTGGCCTTGTGCGCGGAGAAGAACCCCTCCACATTGAGCTTCCCGTTGCTGCCTGCGATGCACATAGTTACTGGCTGGGCGTACTTGCCAGCCACGAACGAGCAGTCGAAGTGAGCGGTGGCACCCGAAGGCAAATGCATCTCGCACGACATCGCCACATCAACCTCTGAATCACCTAGCCAACGTTGCGCAGCTGCACTGACCACTTGTGGGTCTTCGCCTGTGACAGCCTTGACCATGGCGACGCAGTAGCAGCCAAGATCCATGGTGACCCCACCGCCCATCTCACTGTGCATGCGGTAATCATCCGCCAAAGGTGTTGGCTGATGCATCTTGGACCGGATTTTCGCATCGTACTGTGAAAGCTCAACAGGGTAGTTGACCTCGACGCGCTCCACCGTGCCAATCTTGCCTTCTACGATCAACTCGCGGACGCGTTTGCACACGGGATGGCTGATGGCGTGGAATGCCTCCAAGCACACCTCGGGTTGTCTATGTGTGCATGTTTTTTTCTTGGTGGGACCCAGGAACGGACCCCAGAGGCTGAGCATCTCGGAGCCCGCGGCGCGATGTTGCCGAGTCCTCAGATGTCTGGGCACTTGGAGGTCACAGCCCCTCCAGAGGCTTCAGGAGGCTCAAGACATGTCAAAAACGCACTTGTTTAACGAAACGAAGAGAAGGAGCACGATGAGGAAGATGCGGACGAGGAAGTCTTGAGAGGATGGAGGAAGATTTGACACGATCCACCCTCCCCGATTCTTGATCCCCCGGAACCTTCCCCGCATCCTCGGCGGCCCGCTGCATGACCACCGCCTCCCGGGCGTTGCTGCTGAGAGGCTTCCCACACAAGACGTGCTTTCCTGGAGGGAAGGACGTAGCGAGGCTTTCTGCTCCTGCTCCTCCTGCGAAATTTTGCCGCCCATCCTCGAGGATCGAGGGGGGATGTTCCTGTTTTTTTGCAATGTGTAGTGTTGCTGCTTTCTTTCTCATTTCAACCAGCCAGGAGAGCCTCTGGGGCCCTCCAGGGAGGTCTGTGGGTCAGGATCCGTTCGTCTCTCCTGCTCTCTCCTCCTCCCCATCCTCCTCCACCTCTTCTTCCTCCTCTCCCATCTCTCCTCTGTCCTCGTTGCGCTTCCCTCGTCGTCCTCCTCCTCCTCCTTCTCCTCATCCTTCCTATCATCCTCCTGCTTCGGATCCTCTTTGTTATAGCTACTCAGTATCAGTACTACTCTCCTCTCCTCTCTCCTTGCTCCTCGTTTCTCTCTTCCCACCCCGCCCGCACATAGTTTTTACGCACAGGACTTCACACATTGGTCTAGTACAGTCGGGGCGTTGACCTAAGGAACCCTAAATAAGGAACGAGGCCCCTTTCTTCCATAAGTTAATCTTCGATTTCCCATCGAAAACATAAGGAACACCTGAGGCAAGCTGCGAAACACTTAAGGAACGCGGAGCCCCTCCCCAACGAAAAGGGTTCCTTCTTCAGGGCCCCGACTGTATAGTTTCTGATCGGATCCCGCTGCAGCTCTGCATTTCTAGACAAGTGCGTTGCCCCCATCGTTCAGAATGGCGCTCTCTGCCAGAAGCGGGCCACCCTTCCGGATCCGACTGCGTCCCCGTCGTTGCCGTCCCCCTCCATTCCCATCCTCCGCCTACCTCTGATCCTGCTCCTCCTGCTCCTCCTGCTCCTCCTGCTTCTCCTGCTCCTGCTGCTAATCCTCGTGCTTTTGTTCATCGGCCTCCTCCTCTTCCTCCCCCCCTTCGTCGTCCTCCTCCTCCTCCTTCTCCTCCCCTGTATGCAGACCCCCCATATGTATTTGATGGATTGGGCGGTCTTCGGTTTCTAGAAACAACATTTTCCCCCACGGCGGCATACAGGCAGCCAGTGCGAATGCAAAGTAAAACAAATTCAATACTTGCACCAGGATGATCACGCTGGAGCGTTAACCACATATCAAGATAAGTGCGCTGCTCTCGTCGTTCTCCATGGCGCTCTGGCCTCGTCGCTGGCCACAATTCTGGATCTGATTCGTTCATCCTTGTTGCCGGCCACATCCTTTCCCATCCTCTGCCATCCCCTGGTCCTCAGTCTCCTTCTGCTCCGACGACTCCTGCTGCTGCTGCTGCTGATCCTCCTTCTCGTCATTCCTCATCCTCTTCCCTTTCCTCCTGCTCATCCACCGTATCTTCCTCCTCTAACGTTCAACGCCCCCCTTCTGCTTGCGCATCACACGATGGGGTCGTTCTAGGGATCGGATGCCGAAGTCCTCAAAGACACGAGTGTCGGCGGAACTAAAACAATTCAGCGCAATTGGACGGGATGGGTGGGAGGTGCATGGTGTCAGATATGGCGCGAGCGCACCTAGCTTGCGTCTCTCCTCTCCTCTCTCTTCAAGTTCCAAAAGCTGTTACTACGGTATATACATATCTATACATATACACGGCCGCTTCTAGTACATTAGGGCATATAACTGTATTATCGCACCTCGCGTGGTCTCGTATTATCTCGTCGTTTCTCTTCTCTTCTCTTCTCTTCTCTTTTCTTCTCTTCTCCTCTCTTCTCGTCTCTCCTCTTCACTTCCCTTCCCGTCTGTTGTATTATCTTCTCTTCTCTTCTCTTCTCTTCTCTTCTGGCATTGTCTATTCCCTTCTCGCCTGTATACGAGTATATCCAACCCTCTACTCTACATGTTCGTTTTCGTGTCTTCTTCCGTTTTATCTCTCTGCCGCTCTCTCTCCCGCTCTCCCATGCCATTTTGGCTCAAGCCAGCGTCGGGCGCTGGCCGCGCGGGGCGCAACTGCTGCAGGCCGAGAGGGCCCGGCGCCGCCGCCAGCGCCCCGCCCAGGCGCTCGAAGCCGCTCCCTCCTCGCTCCGCCCGCGTGCCGCGAGCGCCCCGGAGGAGGAGGAGGAGGAGGAGGAGGAGGAGGAGGAGGAGGAGGAGGAGGAGCAGGAGGAGGAGGAGGAGGAGGAGGAGGAGGAGGAGGAGGAGGAGGAAGGAGAGGAGAGGAGTGAGGAGTGAGGAGTGAGGAGAGTGAGGAGGGAGGAGGAGGAGGAGGAGGAGGAGAGGAGGAGGAGGAGGAGGAGGAGGAGGAGGAGGAGGAGGACGAGGACGAGGAGGAGGAGGAGGAGGAGGAGGAGGAGGAGCAGGAGAAAAAGGAGGAGGAAAAGGAGGCGGAGGAGGAGGAGGAGGAGGAGGAGGAGGAGGAGGAGGAGGAGAGCCGCAAGGCTGCCAGGCCGCGAGCCTGCGCACGTGCCAGGCATCATGCAGTTTTAGGTCGGGCATGTCCTCCTACAGGCGGATTTTGGGCGACAGATAGAAAGAAATACTCGAGAAATGTTGAGAAAAGTAGTCAGAACTAGTCAGAACATCGTCCCCAGACTCTTTTTTTGACTATTTTGGGACATTCCTCCTGTAGAGGGACAGGCCCGGCTTAAATGCAGTTGCGGAGGCCCTGGGGGGTTTTCGCGTCCGAGTCTCTGTCCTCCGTTCCGCAGCCAATCCTATTGAGGGGGGTTTGGCGTGAGTCCGCCAGGAGCGATATCGCGCTGATGAGCTGCACCTGGCATTTGAGAAAGGCCCGCTCGAAGGGGACATCGCCTTTCCTTTGCGACTGCCTAGGGCTGGGCGCCGGGCATGTCCCCCTACAGGCGGATTTTGGACGGATTGCTGATGCCTCTTACGTCCAACGTCGAACCTTCTTCGCGACGCGGGCCCCCGGACCCCTCGACCCCATCTCGGGGACTGGTTTCTCACCCCGACTCGGTTCTTGGCGGTCCTGGCGCACGAAGCGGGGGCCTGTGGCTGCCCATCTTGCAGACCCCCGACGTCGTGAGCTTCCCCCCGAGGTCTCGACCCCTTCCCCAGAACCCAGGGTGACCTCCTCCTCCCCCTCGTCCTCCTCCTCCTCCTCCTCCTCCTCCTCCTCATCCCTCCTCCCCCCCCCACCTCCTCCTCCCCCTCCTCCTCCTCCTCCTCGGCCCCAATGGCCGAAATCGAGGACACGCCTGAAGTCGTGACTTTCCTCCCACGACTTGAGAGGGGTCTTGGATGAGGGAGATCCAACCGTTGCGATTGGTTCTGAGCGATTTGAGGGCACCGGTCTCCAGCCATGAGGGCCCGGACAGTCCACTCGCAGTGGAGCGCGTTCGGCAGGCTGTTGTACACCAGGTCCACGTCCGGATCCGCGAGCAGCTCGGCGTAGCTGCCATAGGACTTCTGGATGCCCCACTCAGCGGCAAAGGCCGCGGCCTTGTCGGCGCTGCGCGCGGCGACGGCCACCACCTCCACCTTGAGCGCTGTCAGCGATGAGGTCCGGATCACAAGCCATGCCGCGGGGTCGAAAACTATGCGCAGTACTCTTCGCGCCCTCGCGCCGCTCCCTGGAGAAGGGCAGCCATCCGACCCAGGCCGCGATGCGGGAAGTCAGATGTTGTCTTCGAGCCCCCCTGGGTGGCCTAGGACACGTTCCCCCTGAACCTCTTTTCTTTCCCCCCCTTCCTCCCGAGCTCTCTGGACCCCTAGTAGGCACCCGTGACGCGACTTTTCTGGAAAAACCCGAAGGTACCGATCCCGCTGTCCCCTGGACTCTTATCCTGGGGCGTGCTCCGACCAGGACCTCGAGGCGAATCCAGCCGTGGCGGCGGGGGCCACCCAGGAGGCCCAGCAAAGGAAACACGAGGCAAGGGTCGCGGCATCGGTGGTGGAGGAGGAGGAGGAGAAGGAGGAGGAGGAGGAGGAGGAGGAGGAGGAGGGAGAGTAGGGTGAGGAGGAGGGGGAGAAGGAGGAGGAGGAGGAGGCGGAGGAGGAGGAGAGGAGGAGGAGGAGGAGGAGGAGGAGGAGGAGGAGGAGGAGGAGGAGGAGGAGGATGGGGGAGAAGGAGGAGGAGGCGGAGGAGGAGGAGGCGGAGGAGGAGGAGAAAAAGAAGGAGGAGGGGGCGGAGGCCGCGACCTTGGCTGCCAGGTCGGGGTTGCGCCTGATCGGCTTCACGATCACCGTCGGCACGGCGCGGGCCGCCCCGAGCACGCCCAGCCGAAGGGGGCGCGCCGGCTGCGAGGAGGCGGCCATGGCGCCGCGGCGCTGGCCGAAGGGGCAGGGCGGGGGGAGGCCGGCGGGTGCTGCGAGGCTTCGGGGGCGCCGGAGGCGCGGGCGATCGCAGCGGCGCCTCCGAGGCCACCGGGGGACGAAAAGAAGCGGGCCTCACGCGAGATGGCACGGCGACCTTCCTCCGCGGCCCACGCGGGCCGCCGGCGCGGCGTGCTACATTGGAGACGAGGGCGCTCTCGCGCGACCTTACGCGGGCGTTTCGCGCGCCCATGTTGGCGCAGGCGACCCCGCGTTTTTTGTTGTTGCTGTTGTTGCTGTTGTTGTTGCTGTTGTTGTTGTTGTTGTTGTTGTTGTTGTTGTTGTTGTTGTTGTTGTTGTTGTTGTTGTTTGCGTCGCGCACGTGCCCAGTGGGATGCAGCCGTCGCAGGGGGCGGTCGCAGGGAGCGGTCAGCTTCTCCCCCTCCTCGTCCCTGCCGCTCTCCATCTGCCGCTCCCTCTCCTGTGCTGCTGCTCGTGCTCCCCGTGTCGGGCTCGATGCCATCGGTCGTGCTCGGTGGACCGAGCGAGCCGCCTACAAGCGTGTCGAGCAGCGCGGGGACTTGAGATCGAGGTCCAGAGGGAGACGGAGTGGTCCCTTCATTCCTTGGGCTAGTGGTGGCGGGGGTGCGGGGTGGGCGCAGCGGCGGTGGGTGGTGGCGGGTTTCTGTCGCAGTCGTGGTGCTGATGCTGATTTTCGTGGCGGCGGTGGGTGGTGCTGCTGGTGGTGATGCTCGTCGCCAGCGGGGGCGGCGGTGCGGAGGAGTTCGTGCTAGCGGTGGCGATGGGCGATGGGGCGACAGCAGCAGCTGGATGGCGCTGCTGCCACAGTCACCTCCGACAGCGTTGCAGCCAAGGCGGGCCCCGTCAACGAGGAAGGCAGTCCGCGGCAGCCTCCTGGGGACCACCCGGGCGTCGGAGGCCTCGGGGAAGCCTCGGAAGCCTCGGGAGGCCTCCGGAACCTCCAGGTGGCCCCAGACGAGCCAACACCGTTCCAAAACACAGGTCTGGGTTTTTTTAGCTCTCGAAGCGAACTTCGCGCCTCAAATCGGCCTCTGGACCAGAGGCCTCTTGGGGATCACTGCGGCCCGTCGTTGCGAGCCGCGCGCGCAGCCGTGGCGGCGAGCGCCTGCAGGAGCTTCCCACTGCTTCCAGGGCGGTCTTCGTTGTGGATCGGGCCTCGTGCGAAAGGATGCAGTGCACAAGGGGAATCGTGAGCAAAGGCGCTGCTGTGCACCGCATCTCTCCGCTCTGCCTCCTGACCCATGTGCGATGCTCGTTCGATGCGGCGGGCGAGACATGTAGCTGCATTCTGCGCTCGAGGCCATCCGGAAACGCCAGGCAATCTCCGAACCTAACCCCGATCCTCGCATCGTCCTCAGATGAGAAGAAACCAGACGCCTCCGACGTCGTGATATTTTCAACGGGTGGGCCCTCGAGCTATCGACCACTTCCTACATGGCAGTTTGCCTCGCCCTGGACACATCTGATGACGGTCCCAGGGCGGGTGAGCTACAGAGGCAGACATGGTTTCAGCGCCTCCCTACCCTCGTCAAAATTAACCTCAAAAATGTCTGACGTGGTTGAACTGCTTGTCGGAAGATCTGGGACCGAGTATCGATGAGTGCGGGGTACTTGCATGCGCCGCCCCTCCAATGTCGGTCGACGTCAAACTTTCGAGTCAACTTCGGTCAGACTATCTTTGCCCTCGCCCCGACATTGAAGGGGCGGCGTGTCGGCATTGAGGGGCGCGCCGAAATCGAAATGACGTGCCAGCAACTGTTGAGGTTAATTTTGACGAGGGTAGTAGATTTGTTGAGACAAGACCTGGAGGTCTGAACAGTCATCCTCGAAAACGACCCCCGGCACCTCTCCCAAGGCGCGCTCCGCCGAGGAGCTCGAAGAGGGTCCCTCCGTGGCGACTGGGAACGTGTCCGCGGGTGAAAACAAATCCTGACACCGACAGGTCACGCCTGCCTTGGACTTTCGATCATCAATCCTCTTAGGGGAGGGGAGGAGCAGGGAGCAAGGAGGGAAGCACCCATGTGAGTGGAAAGCCGGATCTTGCCTCGTGGGACTCCGGGAACGCTTCGGCACGGCCACGGCCGCCACCACCCCCTCGTCAGGGCGAGCGACTCGGCTGACGGCTGACTCGGGGAGAGCATGGGGAGGAGGAGGAGGAGGAGGAGGAGGAGGAGGAGGAGGAGGAGGAGGAGGAGGAGGAGGAGGAGGAGGAGGAGGAGGAGGAGGAGGAGGAGGGAGGAGGAGGAGGAGGAGGAGGAGGAGGAGGAGGAGGAGGAGGAGGAGGAGGAGGAGGAGGAGGAGAGAGGAGGAGGAGGAGGAGGAGGAGGAGGAGGAGGAGGAGGAGGAGGAGGAGGAGAGGAGGAGGAGGAGGAGGAGGAGGAGTGCGCGCGGCGCAGCGAATTCAAAACGAGGAGCCAACTCCACAGGAGGCCTGAGAAATGCACCCAAACGCCACCACCAGCATTTGCCCTTTATGCTCGACGCTCGATTCTCGATGACTCCGATGGGAGACAAGGCGCTCGGGCTCCCGATCCTTGATCCTCAAACATCCATGCTCGGACCTCGTTCCTCGATAACTCCGATGCGAGGCAAGCGCTCGCCTCTCGATGCTCGGTCCGGGAAGCTCGGTGCTCGACAGCTCTGATGGGAGGGAGGCGCCTGGCCTCTCGATCCGCGACCCCCCTCCATGCTCGAACCTCGATCCTCGCCAGCGCTGGTGGGAGGCAAGGCGCTCGGCCTCTCGATGCTCGATGCTCCATCCTCGAACACCCATTGCCCCATGAGTGCGACGCTCTCGGCCCCTCGATGCTCGACCCTTGCCGCTCGGACCTCGAGCGCTCGCACCTCGATCCTCGACCAGCCCGGCGGGAGGAGCGGCGCTCGGCCCCTCGGCCCCTGGGTTGGCCATCGCTCGGACGTCCAGTCCCTGCGTTTTTTTTCGGTCTCGTGCGTGGCTTTTTCGCCAAATCATCAATGATGCTCCTCGATGGTCCTCGCCGAGAAAAAAACGCACACGTCCAAGCGATGCCAAGTGGGCGGATCCTCGCTGCTGGCACCTCGACCCCTGGTGCTCGGCCGCCGAGGCTCGAGAGCCTCGCTCCCCCGAGGTGCCCGACGCTCGATCTGCTCGACGACCCCGCTCGGAAGGAGGGGCGCCCCGCCGCTCGGTCCTCGCTCCCCGAAAGCCTCGCGGTGTACCACCTCCCGCGGGAGGAGAGGCGCTCGGCTTCCCGCTCCTCTTTTTATTTCAGCGCAATTCTGGAGAAGAGGGAGGAAGAGGCGAAAGGGAGACCGCGCACACGCCTGATCCTTCATCCACCTCGTGCCGGGGAGCCGGCAAGCAGTCCTGCCGCAGGACCGTCGTCGTCCTTTCGTCCCGAGGATCGGGAGGCTCGGCCTCCCGCTCCTCGGTCCCCGACCGCTCTCCGACGGGGAGGAGGAGGAGGAGGAGGAGGAGGAGGAGGAGGAGGAGGAGGAGGAGGAGGAGGAGGAGGAGGCGGAGGAGGAGGAGGAGGAGGCGGAGGAGGAGGAGGAGGAGGAGAAGGAGGGCCTCCCGCTCCTCGACTCTCTCGCGGCCACTCCGAGGGGAACGCTCGGCGCCTCGGCGCCTCGGCGCCTCGATCGACCCCTCGGTGCCTCGAGAGCCTCGCGGCCTCCGACCTCGACGCCCGGGCCTCGGGAGGAACGGCGCCCTCCGACGGGAGGAACGGCGCCCTCGAGGGCCTCGGGGCGCCTTCCCATCGGAGAAACGGTGCTCGGCCTCGCGGCCCTCGGCCCTCGACGCTCGACAGCTCGGTGCTCGACGGCTCCGAGGGGTGGAGGGCGCCTGGCTTCTGGACCCTCGATCCTCAGAGGCTGGATAACCCCATGCTCACGATAATAAACACTAGGGGATAAGAAAGTTCGGGGTTCAGGGGGAGATAATCAAAGTAGCCCACCATACCTCAGCATAATCTCGAAGTAAGAGATGATCAAGAGGAGACCAAGCCGAGCACGAGACATCCTTGGCGTTTAGTCTTCATAGGAATATCCTCAACAATGGCTTATCTCGCTGGAGACATCCTCGACAAATCCCTTGTTTCGCTTGCGACATCCACAAACTGTTGCTTATTTCGCTTGAGACACCGTCAAACTATTGCTTATTTCTCTTAAGAAACAGAGGAGGAGGAGAAAGAGAAGGACAAATCTCAAGTTCAAATGTATTAGATTTTATTTACAAGCGCTTTATGAACATTAAAATTTTTAAGTGCTCGTGTAGGGTAGCTCATGTGCTTCATTTTCCATGGATAATCAACCCCAGGGATAAAACAGTTCAGAGGGGGGGCATGGAGAGAGAGAGAGAGAGAGAGAGAGAGAAAGAGAAAGAGAGAGAGAGAGAGAGAAAGAGAGATACATCATAAAGAAAAAGAAAGGAAGGACTTAAAGAGATAAGATTTATTTAAAAAGAAAGGTAGCATAATAAATGAAAAGGATAAAGAGAAGAGGAAAGGAGGATAACACAACAACATCTGAAGATTCAAATGTATTAAATGTTATTTACAAACGCTTTATGACAATTAAAATGTTTAAGTGCTCGTGTAGGGTAGCTCACGTGCCTCGTTTTCCCTGGATAATCAACCCCAGCGATAAACAAGTTCAGGGCGCCAGGGGGAGGAGGAGGAGAACGAGATAGAGAGACAGAGAGAGAGAGAGAGAGACAGAGAGGCCAGGAAGGAGAAAGAGATAGAGAGACAGAGAGAGAGAGAGAGAAAGAGAGACAGAGAAAGAAAGAAAGAGAGACATAAAGAACTACAAAGAGACAGAAGGACATTGGTTTCGCTTGAGACATCCTGAAACAACGTGTTCGCTTCGCTTGATGTTGTTATCTCAACATAAGAAGAAAATAACTTCGATGGCGAACTTTTCCCGTGATAATGAAGTTCGGCCTCCGCGCCCCCGCGCCCCCGACCAAACTCTTATTGGTCGACGATAAAAAACTCTAACGGCTTAAGGGGGGGGGGGGGTAACATGATTATCGTGGGC